GAGATTAATTTGACGGGAAAGTGTTCTCAGAGAGATTAATTTGATGGGAAAGTATTTTCAGAGAGATTAGAGAGAGATTAATTTGATGGAAAAGTGTTTTCAGAGAGATTAATTTGACGGGAAAGTGTTCTCAGAGATATTAGAGAGAAATTAATTTGACAGGAAAGTGTTTTCAGAGAGATTAATTTGACGGGAAAGTGTTTTCATAGAGATTTATTTGACAGGAAGGTGTTTTCATAGAGATTAATTTGAAGGGAAAGTGTTTTCAGAGAGATTAATTTGACAGGAAGGTGTTTTCATAGAGATTAATTTGATGGGAAAGTGTTTTCAGAGAGATTACAGAGAGATTAATTTGATGGAAAAGTGTTTTCAGAGAGATTAATTTGACGGGAAAGTGTTCTCAGAGAGATTAATTTAACGGGAAAGTGTTCTCGGAGATTAATTTGACAGGAAAGTGTTCTCAGAGAGATTAATTTGACGGGAAAGTGTTTTCAGAGAGATTAATTTGACGGGAAAGTGTTTTCAGAGAGATTAATTTGACGGGAAAGTGTTTTCATAGAGATTAATTTGACAGGAAAGTGTTTTCATAGAGATTAATTTGACAGGAAGGTGTTTTCATAGAGATTAATTTGACGGGAAAGTGTTTTCAGAGAGATAAATTTGATGGGAAAGTGTTTTCAGAGAGATAAATTTGACAGGAAAGTGTTTTCAGAGAGATAAATTTGACAGGAAAGTGTTTTCAGAGAGATTAATTTGACGGGAAAGTGTTTTCATAGAGATTTATTTGACAGGAAAGTGTTTTCATAGAGATTAATTTGACAGGAAAGTGTTTTCAGAGAGATTAATTTGACGGGAAAGTGTTTTCAGAGAGATTAATTTGACGGGAAAGTGTTTTCAGAGAGATTAATTTGACGGGAAAGTGTTTTCATAGAGATTAATTTGACAGGAAAGTGTTTTCAGAGAGATTAATTTGACGGCAAAGTGTTTTCAGAGAGATTAATTTGACGGCAAAGTGTTTTCATAGAGATTAATTTGACAGGAAGGTGTTTTCATAGAGATTAATTTGACGGGAAAGTGTTTTCATAGAGATTAATTTGACGGGAAAGTGTTTTCAGAGAGATTAATTTGACGGGAAAATGTTCTCGGAGATTAATTTGACAGGAAAATGTTCTCGGAGATTAATTTGACAGGAAAGTGTTCTCAGAGAGATAAATTTGATGGGAAAGTGTTTTCAGAGAGATTAATTTGGCCAGAAAGTGTTTTCAGAGAGATTAATTTGGCCAGAAGTGATGAGAGTCGAGTTTTTCATCATAAATCTGTTTAATCAATGTTTATCGTAAAAAAAATAACCATACACTGTTTTATATATCCACTTGACATGATCCCTTTTCATTTCCTTACTAACACTCTTAGACCAAATCAATTTATTTTCTTATTTTATCGATCCTCCTCCCTCAATTCTCCAAAAATTCAGAAAAAAAAATTAGCTCTGCTTGAAAAAAAGAAAAATTATCAGAAATTCTCATTATTAATAAAAATACGATTTTTGATTAAATTAGAAAAAGTAGAAAATACAAGTCAGTCCTGGCATTTATATGGTTTTTTTCTCCCCTCGTAAATAAAATTATAAAATCAAGAAAATAAATTGGTCTAGTCTTTCAGCCTCGGTCTAGCAACTGGAACTTTTCTTTCAGTCTTTTCTGGATCAGAGGTTATAATTTCATTTTGTTATTTTTCAATGGTCTATCTTGTAATCTAACAAAATTTATAGCAAAAGCAAGTATTTTTAACCAATCAAAACGTGTCATCTGAAATACGTTTCTTCATAACAAAAAAAATCAGACGTCTGTAGTTCCTGCAATTCTACTAAAACTGAGTGTTTGCTGACGTCACCAATTGCAAAATAAATGATTTGATACTGACCTCAATACTTAGTTTTAGAGGAATTTCAGGAACCACAGACGTCTGATGTAAAATTAGAATGGTGTAAATTGATGCTATCAGTGTCTCTGATACACATAATAAATTTAGAAAACCTCTTTACAATCTCTTTAAACTAACAAATTATACTGAAAGGCAACAGAAAGTTCATAGGGGTGCATTTTCTTACATGTTGGTACAAACATCTTGACTTTAAAGGGACAGGTGCATCAATTTAAGATACTCTGTGATATATAGAAAAGACATCTATAGAAATAGGAAAAGAAATTCCTAGTTTGAGATATTTTTAAAGGAATTATACGATTTTGGTACATTTCTAGTATTTCTGAACACTATTTTATATATATTCAAGACTCAAATTAACCCCTCAAAATGGTACACCACTCCCTTAAAAGAAAATTTTAACCACAGTATTTTTAAACCCCAGTGTCTTGTAAGATCTACAAGAATTATGATGTTTGTTTTGCCTGTTAGTATAATAACATAACATATGTTCTGTTATAATACCTACTAATAGCTTGTTTTTATTTTAACTGTCATACTAACAGAAGCTAAATCCAAGACGATGTCCCAACAGGAGTTACTATCGTATGTTACAGGGGGAATAGGAGACTCAACAGAACAAGAATTAGATAAGGTGTTTTCTAGGTAAGTTAGCCCTTCCTTTCTTTATTAACAGATTAAACGTTGGTCTCACTAGCATTATTGGTGTGTAAACACAGTTGATCACGTGACAAACTGAATAAATGACAAAGTCAATTGCGTTTACACACCAATAATGCTAGTGAAACCAACGATTAATTCTTATATTTATATTCAGATACTTTTATTAATACAATTTTCACTGTTTTATATGATCAGTTATTTGAATTTACCACAAATCTTAGATTACGTCATTGTTGAGTTTTGATGATGTCATAATATCACGTGATAAACTACAGTTTATAGAAAAATAAACACCAGTTTGTGTAACTGGTTTATTGAAGGGAGTGATAGTAGAAGTGGTAATATTAGGCTATAGCCAAGCATCAAGGAACAATTTAAAGGGACAGATGTGCCATTTTTTTTTGACCAATCATACTCAGAAACGGGATTTTTTATAGCTAAGTCAATAAGTAATAGTGTTCATAGCTCACCGTCCAAATTTTAGCCTTCAAATCTATGTGTGTTCAAATTTATTTGACTGTTAAAATTTGAGTACATTGCTAGTACTTCTGAAAACTATTTACATATATTCAAGACCCAAATCACCCCACAAAATGGCACACTTGTCCCTTTAAAACATTTTTATATGGTCTTATTAACCTGTATTAACCTAACCCCGCTACACTTCGGTTTGTGGGTGTGGAAATGAAATTGGTGCTATTTATATCTGACCAATGAAAGCAGGGGTGAAGGTCAACAAAACAAACAGTGTTTTTGATTTCCTGTCGGCTTGAAATCTTCAATTTTGATTGGACTATATTTAGCTATTCCCTGACTTGTAAACAAGGTATCGAGGAAGTATGATGAAGGGGGGGTGTGGTTTGAATATGATTTAACTATAACATACAAACAAACTAGACTAATTATCATGATATATTAATAACTGCAGCCTTGGTCCCAGAAGGTAGGAATTCTGATATATTTCACCAGCAATGTTTTTTGTATTTTATTATCCTCTTCTGCATCCTAATGTTTAATTTTTTTTTGTGCAGTGTGATTTTTAAACGCCCACATGAAATTGTGGTTGTATATTGTTGTTGCCCCTGTCTGTCAACATTTCTTGTGAACACAATAGAGACTACAGTTTTTATCTGATTTGAATGAAACTTGGTGTGATGATATGTAATGATAAGACTAGTTCGAATTGAATGATTTTTTGATCAAGGGTTTTTGAGTTATTGCCCTTGACTTAGTCAAAACACGTCAAAGTTTGTTAGTGAACACAATAGAGACTACAGTTTTCATCTGATTTAAATGAAATTGAGATCTTGAAGCTCGAATTTGAAGATTTTTCAATGAATGTTCTTTGAGTTATTGCCCTTGACTTAGGAAAAACACGTCATAATTGTTCATACACATAATGGATGCTGCAATCTTCAATAACTTGGTGTGATCATTGGAATTTATTTATTGGAATATTATTTTTCTGTGTATTGAATAGAAACTTGAGAGATTAATCAGTATGGTTCATGTTGCTCTTTATTTGAGTCTAAAATTCTAACAAAGCTGCTGTGTGGACGTATGTTTACCTTGCCTAGCAAGCTATACCCTTTTTTTTGCATGCAGTGTGATTTTTATGTTTTTTTGCATGCACTGTGATATCTGATTTTTGTTTGAACTTTTAATGAATAACTCAGTTTAAAGGTGCGGGCACACAAACAGTCTTGTCGGTGATTTTTGTCGCAGACTCGAATCTTATCTAATATACAGTCAGTTGTTTTCCACTATGACGATAATCAAACTGGTTTGATGTTATAAATCCTGTCTGCAACTTGATAATCTTGTCGTGGAAGCAAGGGCACACGTGAGATTTTACTCAAAAATCCGCAACCAAGACTGTTCACATGCCTGCACTTTGAGTCCTGGACAATCTGAGTTTCAGTGTAAAAGTTTAATATTATTAAGATTAAGAATTTAATGTAACTCACTGAAACTGAAAATCAGCTTGTCCAAATATTAACCCCACTATATTTCTAACCCTGGGGGTAGACAAACGTACTTGATCACCCAATGATCGAGATGAATTTTAAAATCGCTCAAAAAATTCACTTGTGTGTCTGCTCATGTTGATTTTTAACGCCCATCCGACATGAAAAATGATTATTTATGCTAGTGATTAAATTTGTTCGTCTGCCCGTGTCTGGAGATCGATATTTCTTTAACCAATCAGACTTGATTCTGATATCATGTGACATTTAGAAGGGCTACCTAAGCATTTGTGTTCCAATCACATGATCGTTGATAATATTCCTCTGAGTGATATTTGCTTCATGTGCCCCTTCATAATCGGGGAAAAAATTTGCGATTTTAATCGATGTGATCGGGCAACAAAATCTGCTCCTCTGCCCCTAGGATTAGCGCATGACACACTACTGTCAAATAATGGTCATTTTATCTTCTCAAATCAATAAAATCAAACTTTAAATTCTACAAGTTGAAAAGAGTTTTTTTTTTCAAACAAAATCTTTCACCAAATAATGCTAGCAATTTTTTCGTTCTGTCAGTGAAAACTCTGGAATTTTTCGAACGGCCAAGGCAGAAAATCGTCACCTACATATAGACAATGATGACAGGGAGATAACTCTAGAGGGTTTTAATAATGCAGATAACAGGATACTTCAGGCAGAGAAACGTGCTGCATGGCGACAGGCCAGGTGTGTGTTATTTTAGTTTCAAGGTCTGGTTATATGTAAAGGTTCAGCCCTGTAATCCATGTAGTCTTGGTTACCCAGGTTGAAATATTTGCCTGTTTCAATGAACGTGGGCTCGGACTTCAGGTTCAGAAGGTTGTCGTTAATTTTGTTCTGTTAGATGAAAAAAGTATGGTGCACGTTAGACCGAAACATCTGTCTCTATTCCAGCCTCTAATAGTTATTTAGACAGATGTCAGCTGGTGTAGAGACAGAAAAAATAGGCCCTGTTAAATGGGGACATTCCACATCTCCGCAGGTGCAGAGGTTTTAAACCTATTTAGATACCTCAGATATATTTGGAAAGATGAATATTTTTGTAGTTCAGTCATGCCATCATTTTGACCATTTATGTCATGTCTCCGGTTCCATCAAAGTTTTTTTTGACGAAACTGATCTAGCATCGGCCATTTATAACTGCGAGCGTAGTTCAAAGGTCACAGAGTCACGTGATACTAACAAAACGAAAGTTACGGTGATGCCCAACACTAATTTACAATTATCTTAAAGGTAATTCAAAATTATGTTAGAGAAAACTCATCTTTGGAGTTGTGGAAAATCCCCATTTAACAGGGTCTTTTTCTTCTGACTGTACTATTGCTGACAACTGTCAAAATATCCACCAGAGACTGGAATAGAGGCAGATGTTGCAGTCTAGCTGCACGCAAGCGCTGTGGATTACATGAAAACCAGGCTTCTCTACAGACCAGGCAGCGTAGCTACTCAAGCTATCTCACTTTCCATATAAATATGTTTGAGTAAATCTGTAGATCTGAACCACCACATATAACCAGGCCTTTAGTTTGATTTCTCTGGGTTATATTGTATTTTCAATTATAAGTTATAATTAAAGCATGGATTGTTAATAACTAGTTGATATTATAGTATATATTATAATGTTTTAAATGTTATATCTAAATATTTATAACTATTGATCTCTATGTTTTACAAGTCTGAACTATCATGGTGTGTTCAGATGACTAAAGTTAAGGCCGCTGAACAACCAACCGTTTTTTGAGCCCGATATTTTTTTAATCGTTATAAAACTTAAACGGATAGATTTGTTTTGTTTTGTTTGACCAATCATACCTTAGTCTCAGAAACAGGAATTTTTAAGATAAGTTAATCAGTAATAGTGTTTACAGCTCACTGTCACAATCCATGTGTCTAGAATTATCTACATTTGAATGTTAAAATGACAACTCGTCTTTTCTTGAGATACGTCCATATATAGAAAAGACATCTATAGAAATAGGAAAAGAAATTTCTAGTTTGAGATATTTTTGAAGGAATTATGTGATTTTCATACATTTCTAGTATTTCTGAAGACTATTTACATATATTCAACACTCAAATCAAACCCGTGAAAATGGTGAATCTGTCTCTTTAAGCTATGTTAACTTGCACCTATTTCGGAGGTGGTTTAAGACCTGGCTTAAATAGTAAAGCCAGCTTAGTCTGAACGAAACTAGCTAACATTAAGCCAGATATGTTATGTCTCTGCTATGTCTCTGCATGTGCACTCTTTTTAACAAATTCCCACCATTATTGTTGTTGTTATAATGCACATGCATAATGGTTTATGACCTCTGAACTTCCCGATAACTTCCTGTAAACCAGGCTCAAAGTAAGTTTAATAGTTAAGCTTGTGTTAATTTTAGTTATCTGAACATACTAATAGTAAAGTTGTTGGAAGTTTTTGCTTGCTTATTAAAGTGTTTTATATTATTATTTTATGTTTGTTATATATGATGTAAAACCTTCACCTTGACTTCTCATTTCTATATTGAAATGGAGGGCGTATATTAGTGTCACCCTTATCCATTAATCCATGATTGCTTGTAAACACTCTAGAAGGATCAATTCTTGACGGATTTAAATGAAACTTGGTGTGAGTGTTAGTAATCATCCAAGGATGAACCCTATTGAAAATCAGAACAATCGAAAAATATTTAGTATGAGTTATTGCCCTTGTTCTAAAAAAAAACATTCAATGTTTAGCTTGTAAACACTCTAGAAGGAACAATTCTTGACGGAATTTGACGAAACTTGGCATGAGTGTTTGTTATCACCCAAGAATGAACCCTATTGAAAATCAGTAAATCGAAAAATATTAAGTATGAGTTATTGCCCTTGTTCTTGCAAGGCATTAAATTTTTCATACTGATGATTGTTACTGGTGATTGCTCACTAAGTGCCTTCTGTTGAATAGTGACTAGTTTCTTTTCAACCATCCTAATCACTATACTAAATGTTTGATGCATCACTATTGCCAAAAGGCCCTTCACTATATCATTTCACTGATTCATTGTGCCAGAAATGAAGATCCCTGTTCTATTTTTTCAGGATGAAGTCTCTGGAAGCAGATGCAGTAAAAGCCCAAGTTGTCATCTCACGTGCTCAAGAACTCAAAACTGATCCTTCCAAAAATAAAGCTAATATTTCATCAGATTTAGATATTGCCTTCGCTGGTAAGTACTTATGTTAACTTGGATTCTGATAAAGTTAAACCCCTTTCAACCTGATTCTCATCTTACAGTGGTCTGGTTTGATCCTGGTTTAGAGAGGTTTCACAGTTTAATGGCAACGAACATCTCAATATTTACAAATAGGGCTGCATAGTTACAAATCAATACACTAAAACCCTGGTTCCCAACCTGGGGTGTTTTCATCCCCTGGGTCTGTGGAACTAGGATGTCAGGGGTATGACCAACTGGTGTAGGACATGAATTTATTTGGAATTGAGAGAGCACCTCACATCATCTCATGCTGAAATGTGGATGAAACAAATTTAGGGGGTGTGAAAGGTCCAGGTGATTGCTCCAGGGGTGTGAAGGCTGAAATAGGTTGGGAACCACTTCACTAAAAGATACATGTTCAACCATACGAGTCATTGTGATAATAATCGCAGAAAGAAAAAATAGTAAAAATATTTAAAATCATGAGAAGATCTAGGTAAAGATTGTAAAAGAAAATAATCAATTTTCAAAGTCCAAAAAAGTTATTCTAACAAATTTATTATGAAAAATATACATGATATATCAAATTATTATACACATTCTGATATACACCAGAATTCCATATCATTTCTTATTAAAGGGAGTTAAGATGGGTTTCCTTATTTTTTAGTGTCAAATGAAGCAAACTATTTGATTCATTGGTGTTTCTTATGAATTATCATGTATTCTTAATCATATCATTATGTTCTTACTGCATATAATCAAAGGTTTTAACCAATTATAAATGTCCATGTATTTACAGTCTGGATAAACAAAAAAGACTTTTTGACCTTTCTATAGAGCAGTAAAACCACTACAGATATTGTTTTAGTTTATATACAAATATAAATCTTTACGATATAAGGATATTTTAATCACTATTTTTTTTGTCGTTTCATATGTAATGTTCGTTGTGTATGCTAGGCAGCTATGACGGGTGTAGCACCAACAGGGTTTGCTTACTCTTCTAGACACCTGATACCACTTTTCATTATGAAATACTTACTCACTTATAATTGATATACTTCCTCATGTGAAAAGTTCATTAGCCCTTCCAATATTTAATTTCGCTAATATGTTGTTTTAGATTTCGAGTTTTATTTAATAGTTTGGATCGTTAGTACTTGGTTTATTTATTACACTTGTTATTTGAAAGGTGTAAACACTCTAGAAGGCACAATTCTTAACAGACTTAGTGAAATTTTTTATCATCGCATGCAGATGAACCCTATTGAAAATCCGAAAAATCAAAAAAATAATTAAAATGAGTTATTGCCCTTGTTGTTGTTATTTTGTTAAAGGTTAATTTGAAGTTATTTTTTCTCTATAGATGATGATGATGGTCACACTCAAAATGGTCAGCCTCATACTCAGGTTGGTACCTCTATTCAAATTAATATTATTTTGTTTTTATAAGCTTTTATTTTTAACATAGTCACTTCAGTTAGGGTCTAAAGACGGCCTTCTTGAAAGTTCGTCACAAGCCAATCATATTTCTGCACTCTATAATGCTGTTATTTATCGATGCGAAAAAAAGACGAAACGAGGGTCTAATGTTTCTAAGAATACACTTTTTCTTCATGTCACAAAATCCCAGCTTTGGAGAGGGCAGACATTTGAAACTGACTAATGTTCTAGAGGCCAGTCTTTAGACCCTAACTGAAGTGGCTATATTAAAAATAAAAGCTAAGATAATATGGAAGGAAAGTTTGGTCTAATTATTTTGTTTTTGTCTGGATGTTTTACTTTAAGACAATGATACACTAGGTCTGTAGCAATGTAATCAGAGAGGCTCATTGGACATGCCCCCCTTCCCCACCCCCTCAGGCCTGTGAAAGGTTTTATTTTGATGTGAAAATTAAGCTCTCTAAAAACTCAAAATTCATCTCAGGCCATCTGAAGTCCTTTGGCTTCTGGGGTCTCTGATTTGCGTTGGAGAGACATCTTTCGTTTATGGCCAATCCCATTAGGTATTAACCAATCAAAATCCTTCAATCCCTCACTTCAGTTGGGGTCTTAAGACGGCCCTCATAAACATTCATCACAATAACCTTTTGACCTGATTTGAGGACATTGGCTCTAACCAATCAAATTCCTTCACTCTCCCTTCAGTTGGAGTCTTAAGACGGGCCTCATAAACATTCAAATTCCTTCAATCTCTCACAAAATGCCAGCGCTGGAGAGAGCAGAAATTTGATTGGTTAAAGCTGGGGTCATCAGTTGATATTGTATTGCTGTATTTGGAACACCTCATCTCTGTTATTTGTATATTATCATTGGATAAAGATAAACAGTATGAGTTTATATTGTTTTTATGAACCTGTGTTATGAACCTGGGAACAGTTCTGTTGTGTGATAAAGATAAACAGTATGAGTTTATATTGTTTTTATGAACCTGTGTTATGAACCTGGGAACAGTTCTGTTGTGTGATAAAGATAAACAGTATGAGTTCATCTAGTTGTAGAATGTCAAATTTTTTTATTTTTTTTTTTTTTTTTATCGATGTTAGTTTTTTTCGCCATCACTCCGGAAACATTTAATAGTGGAATGTAGGGACGGTGAAACGACAGTGGAAGAAAGGACTAATTTGATTGGTGAAAATTCTCGCACGATTACCGAGGAGATCATTGATGAGAAAACTGGCAAACCTACATTCAGGACGGTACAGGTTATAGAGAAAACGTTGGAACGGGAGGTATGATGAGCCTTGCTGGCTTTCCATGTCACAGCTTTCCACGCCTTCCTTCCTTCCTCACCTACCTGGAGTCCATCACTTATATATTCCGTCCGGGTCATTGATGGTTATAGTACTTACTATGGGTTCTGTATCTTCTAGACACCTGATACCACTTTTCATTTCTGGTTTTGTTACCATTTATTTTTTTTATGTTAACAGCTATGACGGGTGTGGCGCCAGGCAGGGTGTGCTTACTCTTCTAGACACCTGATACCACTTTTCATTATGAAATACATACCAATGATTGATATACTTCATCATATGGATATGAAAAGTTCTTTAGCGGGTTTCAATGTTTCGCCAATATGTTGTTTTGGATTTCGGGTTTTGTTTTGTGGTTCGGATTGTTAGTACTTGGTTTATTGATGGTATTATTTTGTTGTTTTGTTATATTTTGGTGTTCTCTTGCACTAATATGCTGCAGGTACACAAACGATCTTGGTTGTCGATTTTTGTCGCTGTCAAGAGTTTCACCGACTGGCTGCAGGCACACGAGGAGACACCTTCAATCTGTCGTTTTCCACTCTGATAATCACATGAAATTGAAAGGAAAAAAGAATCTGATTGGATGATAAAATAATCAACCACAAATATCAAACTGGTTTATAAATTATAAATCATGTCGGCAAAGCGATATACTTGTCATGGAAGTCATGCTACAAGTTGGTGACAAAGACTGTTCGTGTGCCTGCAAAATTAAACGCCCAGCTTTAAATATTTTTATACACCCACATGAAATATTGTCGTCACCCATGTCTGTCCGTCCTCAATTGCTCGTCCTCAATTGCTCGTAAACACTCTAGAAGACACAATTCTTGACTGATTTTGACCAAACTTGGTATAAGTGTTTATCATCCAGGAATGAACCCTATTGTAAATTGGAAAAATCAAAAATATTTAGTTTGAGTTATTGCCCTTGTTCTTGAAAACGCGTTCAATTTTTAGCTCGTAAACAGTCTAGAAGGCACAATTCTTGACAGATTTGACTAAATTTATAGAATTGTAACATCTTGACATTGTGAAGATGAAGTTTGTAACATCTTGACATTGTGAAGATGAAGTTTGTAACATCTTGACATTGTGAAGATGAAAGATGAAGTTTGTAATAGCTTGACATTGTGAAGATGAAGTTTGTAACATCTTGACATTGTGAAGATGAAGTTTGTAATAGCTTGATATTGTGAAGATGAAGTTTGTAATATCTTGACATTGTGAAGATGAAGTTTGTAATAGCTTGACATTGTGAAGATGAAGTTTGTAATATCTTGACATTGTGAAGATAAAGTTTGTAATAGCTTGACATTATGAAGATGAAGTTTGTAATAGCTTGACTTGGAAGATGAAGTTTGTAATAGCTTGACATTGTGAAGATGAAGTTTGTAACATCTTGACATTGTAAATATGAAGTTTGTTGTGAGTGAAGGGGAGATAATTATGATTTAACTGATGTATTTTCAGGTGGAGGTAAAAAAACAACAGATTTATGAAATGAAACTAGATGACGGACGATAGGTAGGTATCATCTTTCTTTTGTTAGGGGCAGGCGAGCGTATTCTTTCACTCTATCAAATTTAATCAAAGATAAGACAAATTAACAACCTGTTTTAGTCATGCAATCTTATAATGAGAAAAATAATATTATGTATGGCAAAAAAACTGCTCTACTGACAAAAATTACATCACGTTTTGCTGAAAATTGTATTGCAAACTCCAATGTGTTGCCCCTTATTTTCACTGAAACGTACCTGGTAAAGTGGTAAAGTGATGTTGTGTTTGTCTCATTTCCATTCTACAGATCTGATTGGTCAGATTTAAATAGCACCAATCTCATTTCCATTCTACACATCTGATTGGTCAGATTTAAAATAGCACCAATCTCATTTCCATTCTACAGATCTGATTGGTCAGATTTAAATAGCACCAATCTCATTTCCACGCCCATAAAACAAAGTGTAGTGGCTAAATACAGGTTATTAAGACATGGCTACGATGCAAAAAGGGCAAATGATCATAATGAAGGCTAATGATCATGATTCAGGCTATAATGATCATGATTCAGGCTATAATGATCATTATTAAGGCTAATGATCATGATTAAGGCTAATGATCATGATTAAGGCAAATGATCATGATTCAGGCTATAGATCATGATTGAGTCTAATGATCATGATAGAGGCTATAATGATCATGATTCAGGCTAATGATCATGATTCAGGCTATAATGATCATGATTCAGGCTAATGATCATGATTCAGGCTATAATGGGCATGATTCAGGCTATAATGATCATGATTCAGGCTATAATGATCATGATTCAGGCTATAATGGGCATGATTCAGGCTATAATGATCATGATTCAGGCTATAATGATCATGATTCAGGCTATAATGATCATGATTCAGGCTAATGATCATGATTCAGGCTAATGATCATGATTAAGGCTAATGATTGTGATTTAGGCTAATGATCGTGATTTAGGCTATAGCTCATGATTGAGGCTATAATTATCATGATTCAGGCTATAATGAGCATGATTCAGGCTATAATGATCATGATTCAGGCTAATGATCATGATTCAGGCTATAATGATCATGATAGAGGCTATCATGATTCAGGCTAAAATGGGCATGATTCAGGCTATAATGATCATGATTCAGGCTATAATGGGCATGATTCAGGCTATAATGATCATGATTCAGGCTATAATGATCATGATTCAGGCTATAATGATCATGATTCAGGCTAATAATCATGATTAAGGCTATTGATCATGAATTTAAGGCTGTTATGAAATTTCTACTGTGTGGATTTTAGCCTAATAGACAACCAATTATTTGATATAAAATTCTTAGATACTGGCTTCACGTTGCCCACTTTTAGTTTAGGACCTTCAAATAGACCTTATTCACGCCTTGTTTTGAGAACATTGAAAGCGAGGCTCATAATGCAAGTGACGTCACGTGGTAAAGTGACAATATGGCCGATGCATGAATAAGGTCTGTGATGTTTTTTATAATATTTGTTTGTCTCTTTCAGTTGATAATGAAGAGGATCATTAAGTCATCCCCATGAAAATATTATTGCCATAGCAACCATTCTCATCTGCTTTTAATCTGCTGTGTATATTCATTAGTAACTTTCGTTTTCATTTGACCCCATGAGGTCAATTAGTATGAGATGGTAGCAATTAGTGACAACTTATATTCTCGGATCTTTAGGAGGTTATTATAATCTAATTTAAATAATATTACAATTTCCTTTCTTTATTTATTATTGTCAGTCTCCATTGTAATCTAACAAGATTTATACCAAGGTTGTGTACTGATGATGTTTCTAGCTATTTATAGCAGACAATCACACACCACTCTCCAACCAATCAGAATCAATGTTACAAGCAAGTATCAACAGTCTCATAATTTCATTGGTCATATCACTCTACTTTGGGTTTTGCTATCCCACAATTCATAGTCGATATTTAGACATGAACTATGCATGACATGTTTTGATTGGTTGAAATGAACATGACCAGTACACAACCTTGGTATAAATCTTGTTAGATTACCATGGAAACAAACAAAAATAATAAGGAAAGGAAATTGTAATGAATTAGATTAAAGGGGGTCCTAGTTATGATCTTCAGAAGGAGGAGAGAAAAGACCTCTCAATCATCTACGATGTTTCAAAATTAAGCTTTTTAGGCCTTCAGAAAAAGCCAGAAATTGTTGAAAAGTTGAGTTTTTGAGGACCAGTATGTTTATAGAGCTTAATTATTCTTGTATTTATGTTTTTATATTGCCATGGTTACGGGAATGTTAGAAATTTCATTTTATCCTAGAACAGTGTTAAACAGGACTTCTTCTTTAAACAGTGTTAAACAGGACTTCTTCTTTAAACAGTGTTAAACAGGACTTCTTCTTTAAACAGTGTTAAACAGGACTTCTTCTTTAAACAGTGTTAAACAGGACTTCTTCTTTAAACAGTGTTAAACAGGACTTCTTCTTTAAACAGTGTTAAACAGGACTGTCGTTTTCTGTACAAATACTTGTAGCATATTTTGCTTCTTGGTTTTCAATATTCAACCAAGTTTAAAAATTTCAATTTTGTGGTCATCCTAAGTGGTAGTATACCTTTAAACCCGTCAATTGCTACAAAATCCACAAGAACATCCAAATTTAGAGATGATGGCCCTAGGTCATTTAAAGTTTCCAGTCAATGGCTAGTAAGAAGAAAACGACATCCCTGTTTTTGTTTATTATATTGTTTACATATCATGTGCAATTCCAATTTTTAGTTTTTTTTCCATTTTATATCTTTTATTACAGTAGAAAGTTTGTATTTTGAACTTTGATTTGTTTTAAAGAGATTGTAAAGAGGTTTTCTAAATTATATGTGTATCAGAGACACTGATAGTATCAATTTACATCATTCTAATTTTACATCGGATGTCTGTAGTTCCTGTAATTCTACTAAACTAAGCATTTGATGACGTGGCCATTGCGAAAGCTGCTTTATCACATAAACACTTAGTTTAGTAGAATTGCAGGAACCACAGACGTCTGATTGTAAATTAGAATAATATCAGTGTCCCTGATACACATAAAAATTTAGAAAACCTTTTTACAATCTGTTTAATATATTTTATTACTATGATGCTATGTATTTTAATTTGTTTTAAGCTATAGTTTTATTAAAACTTGGTGTGTTAATGCCACAAGGTGAAAGAGTGGATTGATAAACCTAGAGCTGTGAGCTGTTACACTCTGGCCCATCTAATTCTAATTTTTGTCTTTTATTATATTTTTAGTCTACATTGAAATCTAACAAGTTTTCTATCAAAAGCTGGTTCCCAAGGTTAGTATTTTTAACCAATCAAAGCATGCCATGTTAAACTCATTTCTTACTAAAATAAGGAATTGTGGGTAACGAACCTAAGGAGGTTGTCCTATTAGCCCACATAAGGTTTCGATATCCCACAATTCCTTATTTTATCACGAATCAGGTTTTACATGAGACGCTGTGATTGGTTAAAAATACTACCTTAGGGAACCGGCTTTAGTAGAAAAAGTCTGAGACTACAATGTAGACTAAAAATAATATCTTTCTTTCTTTTTTGAAAGTTTCTGAAAAATGATTTCAGTTTTGAAATGAATTTTGATGATGTTTTATGTATGTTTCGCTGTTTTTATAGAAAATTTTACATGTGCCATTAATACTGGCCTGTTCAAAAAAACAAAGTTACATACCAACATTTTATAAATAAACCTGTATAAAATTTCAAATTGTTTTATGTAAAGTCTTTATATGAATATAAATTTAAATTTTAACTTTAATTTGGTTTTATTTCTGTTTTATTTAAATATAAAAACAAACAAATAAAACTAAACAATGTAACTTGTGTTTAACTGAGAAACTTTCCATCATTAATTCCCCTAAATACACGTCTTAAACAAACGTTCCAAACTCGTCTCAAAGTGTAGACATGAGAATAAGATCTACTTGTCTAACTTCAGTAGGGACATAGGCTGAAAATAGGTCAGTTGTCTGAAGATCGCACAGTGTGAAACTCTTCAGTAGGGATGCAGGCTGAAAATAGGTCAGTTGTCTGAAGATCGCACAGTGTGAAACTCTTCAGTAGGGATGCAGGCTGAAAATAGGTCAGTTGTCTGAAGATCACATAGCATGAAACTCTTTAGTAGGGACACAGACTGAAAATAGGTCAGTTGTCAGAAGATCGCATAGCGTGAAACTCTTCCGTAGGGATGCAGGCTGAAAATATGGCAGTTGTCAGAAGATCGCAGAGCGTGAATCTCTTCAGTAGGGACACAGACTGAAAATAGATCAGTTGTCTGAAGATCACATAGCATGAAACTCTGAGTGTTTGATGACGTCCCTAATAGCAAAATATGCTTGTATCACATATTGAGTTCGCAATAAATGACAGCATCAAACACTTTAGAAACCAAAATCGATCAAAAAATTTGTTTAAACATTTGTTGGCCTTCGATGTTCTCGCACCATTTATGACTGTTCTGACTGATGAAATCTCCACAATTTTCATAAAGTTGAGCTGGAAAACTGCTTCGGAAATAATCCAGACTGTTTTCACTGTCTAAAAAATCATTCTAGAGTCATACCATATACTGATGTAGACTGTCAGGGCAGGTATAGATACCTATTGTACAGACCTGAATAATACATGTAAAAACCTCCATTAAAATGGTTAAAATAGGCAATATCTGTATTAGCAAACAACTTTTAGACTTCATAACATCTTCAAAATGACATGTTTTATTCATTATTCAAAACAGAAAGTGGAAAAAATACAATTTTGTACCATTCCTGTATATTTAATGGATTTTGCTGCATGACAGGTCTATTATTGAGGAACATCTCTTTCCACATACTAAAACTTTTTCCAGAAATCTGGTTGAAAACTTTCCAATATGTCACATGAAAGCCTGGACAATACCTAGTTTCTAGACAAAAATTCAATATATCATGACCATGAAAATCTTGAACTAGCCAAACTGAAAGTAGACCATTTTATCAACATCCGCTTGACTGTCACTGCACACAAACGACTATTTTTAGAAAAGTTTTTTTGGAGTCGGTCCTAATGACAGTAAATTGATCTCCCTGTAAAATATCTGGGTATCCAGCACGGTCGGTTTGACTGGTCGATTCGTCTTAATACGGATAGTGATGTACAACGGGTGGGTTTTAAATCCCAATCGCCCTACCGCTTATAAAAATTTGCGCTAAAGTAAGGTTTGTTAATTTTAAGAATCGCATATTTCATACTACGAAACGAAACATTTTCAATTTGATAAAATCTTTTGTGACGTCAATATTATGGTATCACATATTTTTTACAAATGAAAATAAAACGAATAAATTTTTTTTTTTGCACTAAGATAGTTTTCTTCTGATTCAAACAGGTTAGACGTCGTTTTATGTTGCACTTCAGATGTCGGCCCGACCTAGTACATTGACATCGGTCCGATTTAGACGTCTTTGTCGGTCCGATGTAGGTCCGATATGGAATGTTTGCTGGGCTGTTCCAATGTTGTTAATTCTGTTCTAACACGTCACATGCAAAATTTTGCCATCTAATTCTTTCTCCGCCATTTTGAATTCTGCCTGCACCTATTTTTGGAATGCGAACTCTGTTCCAACTTGTTTATTGAGTGTCCTGTTGATTTCATTAATCCTGAACGTGAGGAACTTACTAATCAAACGGTCCTTAAAACAAGGTCCTTAAAACAAGGTCCTTAAAACAAGGTCCTTTGGCCTACTTCCCTAAAGATATTAACTGAAATCCAAACCATCATGGGATCAAAAACAGTAAATTTGGTGAGTAGATTCTGGATCTTGCTTCAAGAAGTAGGCAAGATCTATTACTTATAAAATAATCTGAAACACAGAGGTGCAGACGACAGTTAAGTGGAGTAACGAATTTGTGGTCGTCCTCGAGATCGTTCGAAGTATTAAATCTGCAATCCTTCAAATAATCAATACTAATTGAAGATCAAATTTTATTAACGGTTATGGAGGTTGGGATTTGTAACCCACCCTCGAGCACGCTAGGTTGAATGGTCGATTCGTCCTAATGGATATGGTGATGTACAACTTCCGGTTTAAATTCCAAGCAAAACGAAAGTAGCAATAACAAACAATGTCATTCATGAATACTTTTAGAAATAATGTGGCTTATTGTGTCAGATGGAGGAATAAGTTGGTGAGTAAACAATGTTTTAATTTGTTTATAAATTACTACAATTCAAGTCAAGTTATTATTCTGTTAAATCTCAATATTCCTTATTGAATGAATTCAGGACAACTCGGACCAGAAACAACTCGAATCAAACACGACTCAGGCCAAAGACATCTCAAACCAAAATCAACTCAAACCAAACACAACTCAGGCCAAAAACAACTCAAACCAAACACAACTCAGGCCAAAGACAACTCAAACCAAACACCACTCAGGCCAAAAACAACTCAAACTAAACACAACTCAGGCCAAAAACAACTGAACCAAACAC